GAACAGGAGAAATACACAGGACTTGACTTACAACCACAATTGAATCCAAAATATCTGGCGCTGAGCAAGACAGTTGTTAAGTGAGTTTTCTCCCACTTTACAAACTTGCTAAACTTCCAAATTACTGCTCGGTTCTCAGGTTGGGATAGGTGACCTCAGGCTTCTGGCTGTCCAGGACTTAAATTGCCGTAACGCCTTATGTTGCAAAGGATTATGGAAACTGTAGTCCGGAATATTTGCAGTGGAGGACATTGGCCTAGCTGGTTACTCCCCTGGGGAATATATTCAGCCTTCAAAGCAGCTGGCCAGAGGTTGCTTTTCAGATCTTCTGCACCCAGTGATGTATTTTTGATGTCACAAATCTCCTTTTCAGTTTCATCTTGCATGGAAATATCATAGGTCTTAGAGGAGGTTTCAGCCAGCGTATCTTAGATGCGACAGGCAGAAGGAGTTTGAGCACAACTCGACTTGCAAATCTGGATGTTTTTTTGCCGCCTCTGTTTAGAATAACATCCTGAATAAGATTCAACGCCCCCCCCCTTTTTTTTCTTCCCTTTTGTTTGATTTTTTTTACAAAAAAAAAAAAAATGAGGTAAGGAGGTGGGCTTATTTCGAACCAGGGGATTTTGGGGGGGAAGTTTTTTTAAGAGAGAGAACCAGTGGGATATAATATCATCTAAGATGCAGCTGTTTTTTAATTCAGGCCTGCAAATCCTTAGCAGAGAATAAGAAATTCAAGCAGGCCACCGAGGTTTCTGGATACCATCTCCCAGAAGAGATTTTTGGACCTAAAGAAAAATGCCAAAATATTTGCTCAGCATGGGCTTCATGTATCTTTCTCCAAATTTCAGCAAAGTTTTGGTGGTGGTTTTTTTTAAGAAGGGCAGTTTAACTTGTTAATATTCGTAAAACAAGAGTTTCATTTTTGGCAAGATTGCTGATGATGCGTGTTGGGTTTAGCCTCTTGCAAATCTGGAATAATTTTTGTATAAATCTCTTTAATTTCTTCAGTCCTCAGTAGAGTATATCGTTTCTTCTTCCCTAAACCTGGATTCTGCACACCTTCCTTCCTTCCCCAACTTTTTCCTTCCCTTCCTTTCCCTTCTCCCTTCCCTTCTCCCTTCCCTTTCCTTCTCTTTCTTTCCCTTCCCTCTCTTTTCCTTACTTCTTTCTTTTACTTTTTTCTTCTCTTCTCTCCCTTTCCTTTGCCTTCCCTTCCCTTTCTTTCCCTTCCCTCTTTTCCTTCCTTCCTTCCTTCCTTCCTTCCTTCCTTCCTTCCTTTCTTTCTTTTACTTTTTTCTTCTCTTCTCTCCCTTTCCTTTGCCTTCCCTTCCCTTTCTTTCCCTTCCCTCTCTTTTCCTTCCTTCCTTCCTTCCTTCCTTTCTTTCTTTTACTTTTTTCTTCTCTTCTTTTTCTCTTCTTCTCTCCCTTTCCTTTCCTTTCCCTTCCCTTCTTCCTTGCCTTCCCTTTCATTCCCTTCCCTCTCTTTTTCTTCCTTCTTCTTTTTCCTTCTCTTCTCCCTTCTCTTCCCCTTCTTTCTCTCCCCTCTCTTTTCCTTCCTTCCCCTCTTCCTCCCTCTTCATCCACCCATTACCTCTGACCAATAACTCAGATGTTGGATGTCTTCAAATTCCAAAATACCATTCTGCCAAATGAAAGCCTACAGCACACAGCACATCCTATTCTAACGGCCTACGTTAGCATTCATTTTCCCAGAATTCCCCAGCTCTCCTGGTTGTTGCTGAGGATTCTGGGAGCGTGTACGTCCTCTCTCCATTCCCCCCTCTCTTCATCGGGCGAAGAAAATCCATCCAGTTTATTCTTTCCTCCCGGGAATGCCAAATACACTATTAAACATAACGGGCCAAATTATGCAGAGCTTGTAATGGTTCGACTATCCTTTTCCTTTGTCTACTTCCGTCGGCAATTCTAAATTTAGCTGCTCTCCGGGCAGAAGGTCCGTGAAAGATTTGCAGGTCATGATGTTTGCCAGGGTTGGGCTGTAAGCATCCTTGGACAATGGAGATGCTTTTCTTTCTGACTGAGCCCAGAAAGCCGTTTTTTTTTTCTTTTAATAAATAAAAAAATAAAAATTAAGGAATGCGTCCTGTTTGAAAGGGGGAAATGGCTGGCATGGATGCAGATAAATGCCTGATATCAACTTTGAGAGCCCCCCCAAATTGGATGGAATAAGGCTGAAGGCATTAAAAGAGCAGACTATATCCTCTGCTAACAATCAGGTAATAGATAACAGATAATCAGAGTTGGAAGGGACCTTGTAGGTCATCTAGTCCAACCCCTCTCCCCGCCCAAGTGGGAGACCAAGTTTACAGTGGCTCTGAAAAAAAAAGGTGACTTAAACCTGGTCCTCGCACTTACAACCAGTCCCACAGTAAAAAAAAAAACAGTTGTTTTTTTATTCCATTATTATTTATCATTATTTATTTATTCCATTCTTCATTTAATCTATTCTTCATTTATTCTATTCTGTTCTATTAATTCCTATCCTATCCTATCATGTATTTTTAAGTCACATTTAGGAGTCTATCTCTGATCTCTCCACCTCCAAAATTCTCTCTTGACTGTTATTCTTTCTCTTTTTTCCAACCTCGACGTTCTTTGAATCCGACCGGTATTATTTTCCCCTTTGCAGAGAGAAGAAAATCCTCTCCTGAATTCCGAGCTGTATTTCTGCTTGGGTGACACTGAGACATCACAATTCGTTGCATGGTTTTTTTTGTTTTTTTGCAGAGGCCTCCATGAGGTCTAGCAACCTGATGAAGCGCATTCATGTTACCCTTTCTCTTTTGAGACACGGGGGTGGGAGGCATCGGTTCTCACGCTCCATGAGTAAAAAGCCAGAAGAGGCTTTCCTCTGCGGTTTTGGGGCCCTAGGAAAACCCATCGTGTTTTTCTTTGCTGGGTGACTCTGCCCAGATAAGAGTCTGCGGTTTGGATAAACATGTGGTTATGTGCTAAAAATATTTGTGGTTGGATTGCAAACAGGGCTGCACCAGCAATCTTTGGGCAGCACCTGTACCTTGGCTTCTGAAGTCACCAAACAGCACGTCCTCCCTATATTGGAGGGTTTTCTCTCTTTGCCCCAGATAATATTCCCTGCAAGATTTTCACCACTACAGTGGAGTGGCTTCTAATGTTTTCCCTTTACATCATTCCTTTGCGTCTCCAGAAAATTATTGACATGCCTCCTAGACAAGTAAATATACATACATACATACATAAAATCTCTTTTCTTGTCCACTCCCTCCCTCCCTCTCTCGACCCTTCTCTCTCTTCTTCCTTTCCGTCCCTTGCCTTCCCCTCCCTTCCTTCCTTCCTTCCTTCCTTCCTTCCTTCCTTCCTTCCTTCCT